AGACTTCCATACAGTTCAATTTTCTGGTAGTTCTGGTTGTTTTTTGTTTCTAAATTGTTGTTGTCCTTTTTTGGTTATGTGAGGAGGCACAGTGTGTCTACCTACACCTCCATCTTGGCCAGAAGTCCCTTTCCCACTCTTGAAAGCCCAATTATCCTTCTGAATCAATTTTAAGATCTGTTGCTCTACAAAACCTTCACCCATCCCCTGGGCATAACAAAACAATCGCTGGCTGCACCCATGGTTTTCCAGTCTGGGGTTTGGCCCTCTTGTAGCACTGACCTAAAAGCCAGGGTGGAATTGAGTTGACTGAGGGACAAGGACTGGATTTTCTTCAATCTCTGGCTACCCAGAAACTGGACAGTTCTTGGCATACAGTAGGTATTCAGGAGAGTTCTTTCAAACACATGTACGTGTGCACACACACACACACACACACACCATGGATGCCACAGTCTCCCCAGAACAGACCCTCTGACAGATGTATACGGGATGAGTGGGGCACAGGAAGAAGGAAAACAGGAAAGAGAAGGGGCATCTCCCCTTCTCCTTCCCTCACCTCTGAGCAGCGGGGTAAGCTCCCGTCCTCCAAATCCCCTCTCTGGCAGGCTGGCAAGGCAGGAACCAGGGCACTCAGAGCAGTGGAGGGGTATAGCGGAACCAGGGCCCAGGAGGATCTAGACAGGCCAGCAGGGTGGGAGTAGCCTCGCAGAGGCTAATTAGTGGCTGGCTACTTTGTTGGCATACCCTGGTCTCCTCCTCCTGCTCTCTGCCCCGCAAGGCCCTGGGTGTGGATCTAGCTGTTGACCCAGAGGATTTGGTGGACCTGCAGAGTTGTTAGAGGGCTCACGGGCAGAAAGTGAGTGGGCATGAAGGAGAACTAGTGATGGGGACACAGGTGGAAGAGCCTGTGTGGCCCTGATGTTTTTCCTCCAGGGTATGGGGCCCACGGTCAGTTCCGTTTGTTTCCTCGAGGTGGCAGTATTGGCTAAGTGACCTGGCTTCCAGAGCAGGTTTTCCTTTCAGCTAGCAGAATCAGAATTTTAGGGCTGGAAGGAAATTTAGCTAATATATAATTAAGATGCAGTTGACATGCGATTTGAAGGTCCAGCTGAATGGATTTTTCCATATGTATACATGCCACCTGGTGAAGATGGAGGGCCAGAGGTTCTGCCAGCGCCCTAGAGGTTCCCCTGTGCCCCTCTGGAAGGTGAACACTATCCTGCCTTCTAACAGCACAGATTAGTTTCCCTGCTTCTTAACTTCATGTGAATGGAAGACTGCGGTGGATGCTTCTTGGATCTCCCCCGGCGCCCACAGTGGGGTCTGACCAGTTGTTGTGGGTAGCAGTGGTTTGTTTTTACTGCCAGGCTGTGAGTGCATGGCGAGTTCCCTTTCCACACTCTGTTGGTGGTAGTGGGAGGTGTGTGCCGTGGGGAGCAGCCTCGAGACAGGTTACTGATGGAGCTCGGTCTCAGGATCCACACCTGTGTACATGGGATAGAGCGGGGAGCCTGGACTGCAGTGCAATTGCAACACAACCACTTGAGGGCAGCAGCCCAGCCCCTGAGGGATGGGGGCCTTCATTCCTGAAATGGGACCTGAGTGGTGCATCGCTGCAGCACTCAGCACAACCGGCACTGGGGTTGTTTCTCTCTGGAGCTGTCACAAACAATGCTGCTCTTGACAGTCCTGTAGCAGTCTTTGTAGACATCGGCCCCTGAGCCTGCTGGGTATTCACTTAAGGAGTGGAATCGTTGAGTCATTCACGAGGTAGGCAGGTGGGCAATTGTTGAACTGCCGCACTGCACTGTTCGGCACTGATGCATCCTTGCCGTCCACCTACTGTGAGTATGGCCCCGATTGTTCTGGAGCCCAGTTTCCCGGTGTGGTGATCCCCTTCCCTCTGAGATTTCAGGAATAGTTGAGCTCAGGCAGGCAACACAAGGGCTGGGCTCTCAGTGTCCCAGGTTGGGCTGGGTGCCCATGGCTTTCCACTTCTGCTCAGCCACAGGCTGGCACAAACCATGGACAAGCCCTTGTTCAGCTGTATGATGGGGACTAAAACAGACATCCAGCAGCTTCTCACAGCACTGGAGGCATCTTAGGGGCTGACCTCTGCAAAACCCTTAGAACTGGTGGGGTCCTGGGCAAACTGCCTGCCAGTGAGGGGAAACTCAGAGGGACGGAGGCATGTGCGAAGCTGCAGAGTCAGGGCAGAGGTGCAGAGTCCTCAGAAACTTCAGCTCCCACGGCCTCCTCTCCTGAGAGCGCCCCTGCTAGTTTTGAGGGCCTCAGTGCACCCTGCAGTACTGACGACAGCCACCAGGGGCCATCTCAATCACAGAGGCTGCCTCCTGCAGAGGGCTAGTCACTGTCTTTTTTGGAACAGACATTTAGGACAGCCTTGTGCTACTGGTGGCCTGGAGGGGAGGGAAGGGTGCAGGCTGTACCATGAGGCAGACTCCACCTCATGCTCAGGCTACCAGTCAGCAACTGCCCATAAAGCTCCCATTGTGTGTCAGCACAGTTGAATGGGGAAGATGTTGATAACCAGTAAATGCTCAGAAGTGTAGGAGAAGAGGGAGAAGACAGGATCTCTGGGCCCCACAGCACCCAGAGAGAAGGGGATGCCCTGTGCCTGGGTACCCCAGGCTGGGCCAGCAGGTCCATGAACCACAGGTCCTTGCTTCAGTCCGGACCAGCTGGACCCGTCAGCCTTGGACTCATGGTGAATGCTGCTGGCCTCTCACCAGTTTGCCTCTGGCCTTTGCTTCTAGAGGGGAAACTGATGGAGCCTGGCAGGGTGCATGGTGTGGGAGAGAAAGTCCAGGGTGGCAGAGACATCTTCTGAAGTCACCTGGGGCCAGGCTGCTGTCACTTCTCCGTCATCAAGACCAAAATACAGCACACTGGGGCCAGAAGGGTCCCACAGATCATCTCATCCTGGCTTCCTGTTTTACACATGGGGACACCAGGGCACAGAGAGGACAAGGGAGGGCAAAGAACACAAGAGGTGGAGCCTGGGTCTCCTAGGCCCCCTCCTTACCCACCCACTGCCTCCCTATCCCTGTCACCAGCACCGATACTCCCTGCTGTATCAGGGACTTGCTTGGGAGTATCTGTCCCTTTAGCCACTTTCAGAGACTTCATGATCATGGCCTTGATCTGAGGCCCTAGGAAGGGCTTCGCCTGGAGGTGGAGACCAGGGTACTCACAAGCCTCTGAACTAAGCTGGGGCCTTTCTCTAAAATAGGGTCTGCAGAACCACCCTGCTAGGAAAGCATGGTGCTGCCAGGCATGCCCAGACCTTCTGCATCAATCCACATTTAGTAATCTCTCCAAGAGCGTGATGTGTGTGTCAAAATATGAGAAGTGCTGGGTTAGAGCCAGCCATTGTCCACCCCCAGGCTCAGTGTCCCCATGGAAATGGAAGGTCAGAGGCTCTCTGGCCTCTTCGTCACAGCTGATGCACTGGGGGCCAGGCCTTTGGCCACCCTTTTGGAAATGATTTGCACATTAGATTGGGTTCTAGAAAGTGGAACTCCAGTCCCAGCAAAGGTGGAGAGCAATCATACCCTTCTGTAACAGGATACAGACAAGGGGGGGGGGGGCCCAAATAGGGATTTGAAATGGGGTCCGGAACTCAGGGTGTCCAGGAAATATTAGGATGTCCTCACCCTCCCCACCCCCACACACCTCCCCACCTGTGGCGGTGTCAGTTGGGGGAAGGGACAAATGGAGCAGGGCCATTGAGAGCTGTTTTGCATAGCAACAGCTTTGCAGCTAACCTCTGGTGTGGTCACTTAACATATCTATAACCTTTAACTGGTTGCATAAATATGTTAAATAGCTGTGGCCATGCTCTGAGCCAGGGGAATGGAAGTAACTTCCACACCAAGACATAACTGGGGGCAGGTCCCCCAAGTTACAGTGTCTGCGTGGGAGCTTGGAGAAGACTGGCTCCATGACATGAGGCCATGTCTACCCAGACTCACCAGGGCAGCCCAGTAAAGCTGCAAGGATTTGAGAGGGCGGGCAGGTGTAGCCGATTGTGGGAGGAGTCGGAAATGGGGCTGCAAAGGAAGATTGGTGTAGGGATTAAAACCCAGATAAGGCGGCCCTGGGAGAACCACTCGGTCTTTGGCAGAGTGGGGACCCCCACAGCTTTAGAAAGGGGAACCACCACCCAGCTTTAGCTGGAGATCCCAGCAATGCAGCTGATGGTGCCGGGAACCGAGGGAGGTCTACCAGCTGAGACAGATTACTGGGAAGAACCAGGGGCTGCCTGAGCCATGGACCTCTATTTCTTTTCCTGAGATATGGTACCCCATACTGGGCAAAGGGGGGAAGGAAGGACTGTGTGTGTTTGTGGGTATTTTAAGGGACTTTGGGATTTTGATGAAGACATTGGGTCACTACTTGAAGTCTGTATAGCATTAAATAAACATTTCCTTTCCTTTTTACAGATCTCTGGCATTGAGAGATGTCTTTCCTCTGGTGGCGGACATAATGAACCTGGGGGGGTTTCTTTTGGTAATAGTATATTGCCTCGGCCCCCTTTGGCCTCCTTGTTGTTCTGTAACACTCCCATTCCACCTACTTCACCTCCTCTCTGTGAAAACCTGGGTGGGGCCACTCCACAAGTTCTGGGATGCAGTGTATTCAGTTAGCTCACTTTAGCAACACTGACTAAGTGCCTTTGTGTGCAGGTGAATCTCCGCCCTAGCTGTATGTTAGAATCAACCAAGGTGCTTTTAAAAATGACCGACTTGGGCCCCAGCCCAGGCTGCTGGAATTGGTGCCTCCGGGTCAGGTATGGGCACAGGCACGTATACACGTGCCTCAGGGGAGTGGCTGCCTGGAAGTGGGTGAAAAGTCTACCCTAAGCCACACCCAGGCCATGCCAGGCCCTGCTTCCCTCAAGCTAGCTAGCTGGGCAGACCTGCTGCTCTAGGAAACACCGGGAAATTCCATGGATATTTTAACTCGTGACAGCAATGTCCAATTAATCATCAACCCTGTAACGTGATCCCAGACTATAACAAGGGGACCAGGGGAGCTCACTCAGGAAACCTGTCTACTGGCCTCTTCAGACAACCCCTTCCAGACCAGGGACCCCAAGCCTGAGAAGCCCAGGCCCATGGGCGCCCAGCTCTGCTCCCAGGCTGGTAAGTAGGAGCCATGTGCTTGGTCTCTAGACAGAGGGATGCAAAAAGCAGGGGAAGCTCTGGGTCACTGCTGGGGGACAGGTCCAGAGACAGCGGTGTAGTTGTGTAAACATTACTCAGAAAGAGCTTCCGAAACAGGCTGAGCTCATTAGCTGCTGTAGTGAGGCAGTGAGGTTGTAAGCTTCCTGTCCCTGCAAGTTTCCAGCAGATGCCAGTGACTAAGTCTGGCATCCCTGCAGTGACCAGCTGACACACATGGCCTAGCTGCTTCTGGATCCTGCTGTACAAGGAGAAGACTGGCTGGGTGGGAAACCGTAGAGTTTGGGGGCCTGGTGGAAGATAAGGGGCTCCAGCTGTGAAAGCTGAGCTGTGGGACCTGGGCCAGGTCACTTTTCCCTGGGGCCTCCGTTTCCTCACCCAAACCCGGGGCCTCTGCAGCCCGCCTGCTGGCTTACAGGACTGCTGGCAGCAGAAACCAAAAGGTGCACCTCACCAGAGGCCACAGTGTTCTTTGGTGTGAGGGGCAAAGATGGAGAACCTGGGCTTTTACCTCTGGAGATGTGACCGCACCTCTGTGGACACTGATCCCTCCCAGGCAGAGACCCCTCCCTACCAGCCCCTCCCCCAGCAGCACTTGGCTCTCACACCAAGAGCAGGTGGCACCAAGAGCCTGGGGGTAGGGAGGGGCCTGCCACCATTGCTGCTGTCTTAGTAACTGTGTTTGGATCCCAGGCACCAGTGGTGCCATGAGAGGCAGCATAGGAGAGCATAGGAGAGCATGGATGGGGTGGGCTCCCACACCTTTTACGCCACTGTGAGCCAGGTTCAAGCACAGAGCCCTGTGCAGAGTAGAGGATGGGCCCTGGTGGGCCATGCAGTCCCCTGGGCTCTCTGGACCTCTTGGCTTCCCTCCCAGAAGCACCTTGCAGGGGCCACACTCAGCCCATCGTGAGGGGCTATGAGATTGTTTGTTTGGAGAGCCTGGGCATGCAGCTGACCCAAGGGTGCTCCAGGCCCCTGGCTGCCTGTGATCTGTGCAGCTGGGTGTCCTCTCAGCCTCCCTCCTCTGACATGGAGAGCACATAGTCCCCACAGGCTTCAGGGAAGCTCTGAGGCTGGGATGGGCAAGCTTTGCAGACTGTCAAGTTCCTGTCCAGGATGAAGCCTGCCCTTTTCCAGGGTCCCCAGGCCCGCCCCACCCCTCCCATCCTGTGAGGAACTTATGCAACCACTGAGGCCACTCCTGGGAGTTCCTCCTCCTCCCTGCACTGCCTTCCAGTCAGCCAGCTCCCTGCCTTCTCTCCTTCTCCCTCCTTCTCCCCCGACTCCCCTCCTGCCCCTAGAGTCAGTTCTGCCTGAGCCAGCCTCTGTCCAGGCAGATGAATAGGGAATGGGGTGGGAACTCCATCCACTGACTCTCCCTGAGGGAGGGGGGCCAGCTTCCAGCCAGGACAGGCTCATCTCTGCAGGTCACCCTCTTAGACCAAGGAGCTGAGCATGAGGGGTGTCCTGTTTTCCCAACCCAAGGTGGGGGCCCTTTCCTCAGCTAGGGGCTGAGGCAATCCCTCTTTGAAACCCAGCTCTGCACCCACTGTCTGCAGGGTGGTGGCAGCAGTGGACATGGTGATATGTGCAGATGGCTTGAATGCCTCTCACCACCCTAACCAAGCCCATTCCAAGGCTCCTCTCCAGCCCCCACTTTAGGAATGAACGATGAACCAGCCTAGGTGGGGGTGGGGAAGGTGGCCTCCACCTGCCCAGGTGGGTTTTGGCTGGTTACATCGGGAACTCTTAGCTGCCTCCACCCACCCCAGCCCAATGCCTGCCCAGGTGGGCACTTAACTCTTCACATTCAGGTACCTGGGGACTCCTCTGGGCTGGGGTCTCACTCGAGTTCAGATTGAACTTACCTCTTTTTATTTTCAGGCTCCTTCATCCAACCCAGAAAGAGTAGGGCCAGGAGGGGAGGGGGGAGAAGGGGAGGGAAGTGGTAAATTTGGGGGAGCTGACTAAGAGCAGTTCTGCGCAGGAAGCTTCTCCAGCTTCTTCCAGGCCTCCCCCAGGCCGCTGGAGTTGACATGAAGGGCTGCCCAGTAAGCTAATCTCCCTTCCTAGCTGCCAAGTAGAGTCAGGTCAGGAAGTCCCTTGATTTCAAAGTTCACCCCAGGCCTTGAACGCATGACCCGAGACCCCATTTCCAGCCTGTGCCTTCACCCGAGGGGAGCTACCAGGACCACCTCTCTCCCAGGGCAAGGAAGTCACCCTCACTGGGGGACTGGCCTTCACAAGTGAAGGCCTTCACAGGTTCTTCGTGGTAAGATCAGAAAGTCAGACAAGAGAAAATACAGCACCAACACGGGACCCATCAGCCAGAGCCAAGCAGAGTTGGCGGGCCTCTCTCTTTTAGGTTGTTTCTAGGCTCAGATGTGTACATCGAACAAATACATCTGTAGGACAAAGCCAGGGCCACATGTTCCCTACTGTTCTCGAAACTGCTCTTTCTGTGTAATGGCAACAGAACCACACCGGGTACCGAAAGCCTGTACCTGCAGCATCAGTGCTTTTAACTTTTACAACCACCCTGCGGGGGAGGGCAACTGAGGCTTGAGGGGTTTCACAGAACTCAGACCCCAGACAAAGTGAGCTGCTTGCCAGCTCTAGGCAGGTCTCTAAGGGTTGTAGCCCCCAGGAAGCTGGGGATGGTGGAAATGCCCTCCCCATAAGAGTCAAGGTTGCCCCAGGATGCTGAGGCGCTCGGGTGGGGGTAGCTGTGGGGGAGAAGGAAAGGTGGAGGTGGCCAGATGAGCCGGTGGGCCTGGGCTGTCCCTCATTGACATCCCCCTGACCGCTGCAGACACAGAGGAACCCCTGGAGACCCTTCGCTTCCACCCTGAGGCCAAAGGCGCCCATGTGATCCTGGACGCAAAGAGGATCACTGCATACCGACTTGCCACTTTTCACGACGGCATCGTGTTCAGCCAGAGGCCGGTGCGGCCGGGGGAGCGCGTGGCACTGCGTGTGCTGGGGCATGAGGGCGGCTGGCACGGTGGCCTTCGCGTGGGCTTCACGCGCCTGAACCCTGCGTGCGTGGAGGCGCCCAGCCTGCCTCCCTTCGTGTGCCCGGACCTGGAGCAGCAGAGCCCGACATGGGCAGCGTTGCTGCCGGATGACTGCGCGCTGGCGGGGGACATTGTTAGCTTCTGGGTGAACCGCCACGGACGACTCTGTGCCCAGGTCAACAGGGGCCCGAGGCTCCTGCTGCGCAAGGGCGTGCCCATGGGCGCCCCGCTCTGGGCCGTGATGGACGTGTACGGGACCACCAAGGCCATCGAGCTGTTGGGTGAGGCCATTCGTCTGTATCAGGCACTGCCCCTGAGGGGAGGTGGACGGTCAGGAGGTACTCCACCAGAATCCAGAGCCTAGGGGAGAACCATTTATTCGTATTCAGTCAGTTTTCCCATCAGCTTCTGCCAGTGCCAGGTGAGGATGGGAGCAGGGGACAAAACCCAAGCACTGGAAGGGCAGCTGTTCCTAAAGAATGATAAAAACACATGACCAGCACCCCAAACATCAGTGAAAGGGCTCATCACCTTTCACAAAGGAAGAAATTTGGGAGTGGGGATTTGCGGTCTAAGTAGGAGTTAGTTCACTGGGGACAAGGTGACAAGCTGAGGCAACACAGGGCGAGGGGTAGACGTGAGGAGGAAGACAGCCTGTGGGGCACGGGTGACACTCGCCAGTCAGTGGGGAAAACAAGACTATCTCTCTAGCTGCCTGCAGGGAGAGTGGCTTTCAGGGAAGTGAGTAGATAGGTACAGGAAGACCCATAGAAGAAATTTTGTTGTTCCTGGGCTGGTGGTTCATGGTCCCCCAACACAGCTTGTCACAGCTGTAGGAGCGTCCCCACTGGAGAGCCCGATTCGGTAAGTGTAGGACAGGGTCCAACACCTGTATTCTCCAGTTTCCGCTGGATCCCCGTGCTGAGTGATGCTGAGGGTCTCCACTTAGACAGTGGCTGCAGAGTAAAGAGGAGGTGTCTAAAGGAAGGCTGGTTTAAGAAAAAGGATCCACAGCCCCACAAATTCTCTGCTGGGTTAAATGGAGACAGGAGCAGCTGGGGTGGGGCTCTCAGAGCTGCCAGGAGCTCATTCATGCACTGCCACCCAGAAAAGACAGGTGATGGGCACTGCCTGGGGTGTGTGGTGGGTGAGACGGGAGCACCCTGGCTCTACTCTTCGCAGGCCTGAGTCCCCCATCTCTGTCCCAGATCCCACAGCCAGTGCCTTCCCCAGAGCCTCGCCCTGGGCCCTCCCTGAGGAGACGCCCTCTGACCCTGAAGGTGAGTGTCTTTCTGCAACACCTGGGACTCCCCAGGCCTCCAGCCCCAGGGGAGCCAGGGAGGCCCCAGCCCTGGGAACTCAGGAAAGTCTTTCAAGTCCCATCAAGTCTATCACAGGCTTTAGGTCCAACAATTTGGCTCTACCTACTAGAACCTAAAAGCAATGGTGGCTGTGCAGTTTAAAAAACAAAAAAAAAGTAGCTTAATAGCTCTGCCTTCTAGAACATTGGCTATAGTCCAGGTTACAAGAGCACATTCATGAGCAGATGATGTTATTTTGTGCTTGTCTTACAAAAGCAATCCTTGTTCACAGTAGCACCTTTGCCAACCAGGACTTTAAAAAATTATTAAGGGATAAAGAAAGAGAAGCAAAAAGAAAAAAATCTCCCATTGCTTCCTAGGTGGATTTCCTCCCATTCATATATATATGGGGAACTATTTGTGCTTTGTGTTCTTTTTTCTACACAGTTTTATGATGTAGATGTAATATACATTATGGCTTTCTTACTAATTTCTTTCACTTGATTACATTATGAGCATTTTCTCACAAGGTAATATTTTTCTCACTACAACTGCCTGGCTCTCTTTTCTGTGGCTATATCGTGAGTAAGCTGCCCCCTCCTTGACCACATATGCCCCTGACCTATGTTGTCCCCATTTCCAGCCACAGCAGGAGAGGAGTGTGCCGTCTGTCTCCACTGTACTGCCAACACCTGCCTTGTCCCCTGTGGCCACACACACTTCTGCAGCTGCTGCGCCTGGAGGGTCTTCAGGGACACAGCCAAGTGCCCTGTGTGTCGCTGTGAGATTGAGGGGGTAGTCTCAGCATGGGGCTCTTCTGCTCTGAGGACTGGGGAAGGACTTCCTGTATGAATGGCAAAGTGGGCCTAGCTCTGAGCTGGTCCCTGCAGGGGAAGAAGGGGCAGCCCACCCAATTTCTGCAGAAAAGTCAGAAAGCCTAGTTGGTAATGAGCAGAGCATAGAGAAGGAGTAGGGGATGATGGCTCTTCCCCTTACCCAACGGGTTGGGGCCAGTGGTACAGGGGGGAGCCCCTCTCCCTACCCACACCAGAATTATCTATCTGATGGTGGCCTGATTGTAGACAGTGGCTCAGCAATGGCCAGCAGGCTTGAGTTTCCTCTGCTTAGCTACAGGTTTCTCATGCCCAAGGCTTGTCAAGGCTTTTGCTGGCCACTTGGTATAGTCACCATTGACCTAGCAATCTAGGCACTTATGGGTGCCAAGGTTCATGGGACACCAAGAACCCACATGTGTCAAATGAGGAGGATCTGAGATGGGTGGCTTGACCCTTGGTTTTATAGCTGAGGAAGTTAAGGTACCTGCATTTTCCTGTGGCAGCCCTCCCCTTTGGGGATTAAGGAGCTGCACCAGATGCAGGGAGGCATCTGTGTGGAGTGTTTACAGTCCCATGTGAGAGCTGGCACACTGCCATCAAGTCCTCAGTAAAGTGAGTCAGGAGTCACTTACCTTGCAGTGTGGTTGTGAGGATCCAGTGAAATCATGTATCTGAAGATGATTTAGCACGCGAGAGGGCACTGTTGTCATTGTGCTTATTCCCTTACCAATTTCTGATCTATCAAAATAAAGCTTCTCTTTTTTTATGAATGACATTACAATGAATATGAACCTTTATTGCAGTCAGAGAGAGCAGGTGGAGGTGGGGCTGGTCAGGATGCTGGGGCATCTGGGGATCTCCCCTTCTGTCCTGTACAGAATATACAGTACACACCGGGCTTGCAGTGGACTGGCCGGCACTCTGGGCCCTCAGGCCTGTGTGCTCTATTCTGCCAAGCACCTGAAGGAGACCATCTTACACTACCAGCCCTGAAGTCACAACCAAGCTTTGCTCTTGCCACCCTTGATTTGGGGGGACCTTTATGGGAGTCTGGCTCCTGAATAAAAGGAGAAATTGGACCGGGAGCCCCCCCTTAGCAGGTGTTTGTGGTAGGGGGCAAGGCATGCCCATGACTTTGCTGCTGTTCCCAGCTTGTGAGTGGTGGACAGCATCTCCTGGGGGAGAGACCCTTGGATGTGTGACTTGACTTCTGTGAGCCTCAGTTTCTTCATCTATAAAGCAGAAGTAAGACCATTTTTTTTAGAGTAAGTTGTGAGGATAATGAGTATAAAGCTTGCAGCTTAGAGGAAATACTCAAAACATGGCAGCTCCCTTTCCTGTATAAGGCAGCTGCCAGGCAAAGCAACCAAGAGGTCATTGGGCTGGGCACCCGAGCCTGAGTGTATGTCCTGGAGCCCCACATCATCCCAATATTTTGTTGATTCTTATGGGTCCTAAAATAAATTTTTTCTTCCTTTAACTGTGTCTTTTAGTAAAAAAACAAAACTCAGATACCTCCAGGGAGAGGGTGTTACTTGAATCCTATTTCCAGTGACTAGATAACAGCTAGGGAAGCCTGATCTTAGAAATGGTCCCTAACCATAAGTGGTTAGAAAGAACTTTTCTAACATCCAGTCCTTTATAAGAAGGGACTTTTATAAATCTATTCTTCCATAAAAAAGCAAGAAAAACACTGGCAAGATCATATACATATTATATCTGGATCTTAACCAAAGACTAAACAACCATCTGAAGGTGGATTAACAAGGAGAAACTACTGAACTTTGGTAAGAACAGTGGAGTTTGTGGTGTTTGAACTTGGCCTACTCCCATCCCTCCAACCCCAGCTTCACAGTAGCCTTGAAAACCAGCATCCTTATAGCCATCAAAAGGAACAGACTGGATGGGTAGCTTCTCAGAAATCTCCATCTAGAGCATTGTTACTATCTGACCTGTACTGCACTTCCCTGGAAAAGCTTCGTTTATGGGACGTCACCATTATTTAATCTAATTTGAAGCTCTCTCCATGAAAAATCCCTACCCCCAAGGTATTATATCTCTGCTTAGGGCTCTCTCCATGGGAAACCCCCTCTTCCCAGGGTGTTTGTCAAACATAATTAGCTTCAGTTATTCACCAACTGCCCAAGACTGTGATACCAGTTGTGACAATCAAAAGCACAACCAAAAATTTAAAAGAAAGATCTGAGAAATAGGATCTTCAAAGAGGAGTTGAAAGGCTCTGACATATTCCTTGGGATATAAAAGACTGTACATGATCAGGAAAGACATGAAAGGGCCCCAGTCTCTCAGTTCTGGCAGTCCTCAAGGGCCTCTGCAAACAGGAAGTGAAGGCTAAGACAGAGTGGTAAGCTGCCTGACATTGAAGATATGCCTCAACTCACACACCAAGCTCCTTGGCAAAAGGTAGATTTCCTGACTCAAAGGCTTTAAGGGAATCTCTGTCCAATCATCAGCTGACCATTAAGCTAACTGAGGAGGTGCAGGTAAACATGGCTCACCTCCTCACACAAACACATCAAAATTATAGAAACTATAGAAAAATCATCATTCAGAACTATTAGAAATGGAATTGAATGGAAGTGGGACAACTACAGATTAAAAGAAACTACATCTACTGAGACTGGTAGGAGGGGTGGAGACATGGAGATGCAGAATGAGCTGCTCACACACCCACATGTAGTGGATAAAAATTGTGAGGGATATCTTAGGAGTGAGGGTCGCAGCCCTACACCAGGCCCCCAGCCCAGGGTTCTAGTGCCAGGAAAATAAGTCGTTACAACTTCTGTCTGTAAAAGCCAGCAGGGATTTAGTTGGTGGAATAAACTGTTAGATTCCCAAGTAACTTCTCTTAAAGGGCCAGAACATAAATTTACTCAGACTCTCTCTGAGCCCCAGCACTGGGATAGCAGCTTGAAGGCACCAGAGACATATGGGGAGGAACTGAAGTGTCTGGCATCAGGGTGAGCTCTTGGGGACAGCTTTCCCCCAGATGGAAGTGCAGAGACCATTGTTCCTTTTCTAAGCCCTCTAACCACAGAGCTACAGAACCAGAAGACAGGTCCCATATCTGAGATTCCATCAACCTGCCTCACACTGTTTGCCCCACCCTGGTGATTCCATGAGGCCCTGCCCCACCCAAATTACAGGCTCACCCAAGCTGTTAACAGGGCTTTTCCATGTGAATGGCTTGTCTCGGCTCATGCTTCACATCTTTCTAAATCCTCTCAAGCAAACAACAGCCAGCCTCAGTGAGCCTCCAGCCCCTGTACCTTTTATTAAGTGGCCCAAAACCTGGCATTAGCAGAAGCTGGCCTTGGTTCATAGCCTAGCTTCACTTGGGCATCTTCCAGTCCATCAAAGTAGCAGCCATCTGCAGATCACTTTATAGCTTATGGCAAATGGCCCTAGACAGAACACTGGCAATCGCTGACCTTGGTCTGCACTACCTGGGAAACCCCAGAGTGTGCACACCTAATAGACAGCTACAGACCACTTCTGGGCACTACCAGCCAACCACCTACACAGCAACACACTCAAGGGGTAGACTAAATGGGCTCTAGAGCCCTGCTGAAGTAAGTCTTGCTCTATGGAGTTGGCCCCTGCACAGCTGATCTCCACACAGGGCAAAGATTGGTAGTGAGTGGTCACAGACAGTCCTTGCCACTGAAAGGCCTGGGTAAATCTCTCCCATTGACCTATCAACAGCAATCAAGGCTCAACTACAAGAGGAGGATGTACTCAGCCCACACAGAGGGTGAACCTCGACTATACAGTTGAATGATAAGGGAAGCTGTGCCACTGGACCTCACAGAACACCTACTACATTAGAACACGCTACCAAGACAGAGAGTCATAGCAGCTCTACCTCATAAATAACAAACACAGGGAGGCTGCCAAAACAATGAGACAAAGAACATGGCCCAAATGAAAGAGCATATCAAAATTCCAGAAAAAAAAACCCTAAACAAAATGGAGATAAGCAATCTATCAGATGCAGAGTTCAAAACACTTGTTATAAGGATGCTCAAGGAACTTAGTAAGGACCTCACCAGCATAAAATAGATCCAGTCAGAAATGAAGGAAACACTAATTGAAATAAAGAGCAATCCACGGGGAATCAGCAGTAGAGCTGATGAAGCCTAGAATCAAATCAATGATTTGGAACATAAGGAAGAAAAAAAACAACCAATCAGAACAACAAGAAAAAAAAAAGAATCCAAAAAAATGAGGATAGTATAAGCAGCCTCTGGGACACCTTCAAGTGTACCAACATTTGCATTATAGGGATGCTAGAAAAAGAAGAGAAAGGGCAAGAAATTGGAAATCTATTTGAAAAAGTAATGAAAGAAAACCTCCCTAACTGGGTGAAGGAAATAGACATGCAAGTCCAGGAAGCACAGAGAGTCCCAAACAGATCGGTGCAAAGAGGCCTATGCCAAGACACATCATAATTAAAATGTCATAGGTTAATGATAAAGAGAGAATCTCAAAAGCAGCAAGAGAAAAATAGTTACCTACAAGGGAGTTCCCATAAGACTGTCAGCTGACTTCTCAAAAGAACTTTGCAGGCTAGAAGGGGCTGGAAAGAAGTATTAGAAGTCATGAAAAGCTGAGACCTACAGCCAAGACTGCTTTACCCAGCAAAGCTATCATTTAGAATTGAAGGGCAGATAAAAAGCCTCCCAGACAAGAAAAAGCTAAACAAGTTCACCATTGCCAAACTATTATTATATGCAATGTTAAAGGGATTTATTTAAGAAAAAGAATATGAAAGCTATGAACAATGAAATGGCAATAAATACATATCTAACAAAAATTAATTATAAAAAACTAAACTAACAAGAAGAACAGAGACAGAATCATAGATACAGAGAGAATTTTGATGGTTTCCAGATGGTAGGGAGAGTAGGAGAATGGATGAAGAGGTGAGAGGATTAAGAAGTACAAATAGGTAGTTACAGAATAGCCATGGGGATGTAAAGTACAGCCTAGGAAATGGAGTAGCCAAAGAACTTATACACATGACCTATGGGCATGAAAAATAGTGTGGGGATTACCTGAGGGATTGGGGTTTGCTGGGTGGACAGGGTCAAAGGGCCAAAAATTAGGACAACTGTATTAGCATAATCAATAAAATATAATGATAAAAAAAGCTAACTGAGCAGAGATGTCAGTGGTTGCACACTACAGGAAATGTATACTTCACAAAATTAGTCCAGGAAAGTCACAAAATAAACAAGCAGCTGAAACAACAAACCCTGAGCTGTGTGTGTATGTCTGATATTCAGAGTTGCTGTGCTATATTTTCTAAGAAAAAGCTCCCCCTAAAAATATGAGGTCTGCCAAGAAAAGGGAAATTATGGCCTATGCATAAGAAAATAATTAATCACTAGAAACTGTCCCTGAGGGAGGCTGAATATTGGACTTAAGCAAGATTTCACATGAGCTATTACAAATATGATCAAAGTATTAAAGGAAATATTATTTAAAGAATTAAAGGAAAGTATGTCTTGGTGGTTCACCAAATAGAGATTATGAATAGAGAGACAGAAATTATAAAGTCAAGCAAACACAAAGTATGGAATTGATAACACAATACCTGAAATGAAAAATTCACTAGTGGGCTTCAACAGCAGATTTGAGCTATAGGATAAAGGATTAATGAGCATGAGGATAAAATTAGTAGAGATTAATTGGTCTGACTAATAGCAGCAAAAAAGAACAAAGCCTTAGATACCTGTGGGACTCC